CAGAAAAAATAGTTACAAAAAAAATAGATTTTCTATTTTTGTAATGGATTTTCTGTCGCAAATTCTGAGACAAAAACAGATAAAACTGGTACATTTTCCTGAACTAGCTGAAAATACGCCAAGCAGTAACTTTTCAGCTTCCACCCTCCAAATCTAGCAGGGTAATGACAGCTCAGAATCAGCCCACACCACAGCTTTGCCAGCATCAGAGGCTCTGCAGAAGTAGCTCAACAGCTCCAAGACTGCCCAGCAATCAGCAACACTAGCTCAGTAACTCAGCAGCTCCAGGATACTAAGCCCAACAGCAACAGGATACCAACTTCAGTTCACAGCATACAACACCCCAGCAAACACCTATTCAACCTTTAGCATCAAATACCATCGAAGTCTTAGTGCGCAAAATACGAAGACCTCTTTGATCCTGCAGCCTCTGCCTGACAGCACTAGAAGCTGGCCACTTATAGAAAATCAATAAACTGTATAATCCATGATCCAAAGTAAATTGTATACTCAACCTGAAACTGTATAATCACCTTGAAAATTCAATAAACTGGAAAATCAGCTTCTCTATCAACATGATCCAAAGTAAACTGTAATCTGCTCAACAAAGACTAAATTTGTTCCAAAAGACTCAGCAAATGCCAAGCACAACACATAAAGCCCTTAATAGTCCTGACTAAAAAAAATATTACATAATTCCAAACAAGAACATTAATGACAATTTGTTTCTTGTTTCAGTCTCACTGCTAGAAACAATGGTGACAACACCAAAGCACCAGAAATAAACTATAATGAGAAGATCAACCTCGGTGTTTAAAATTGAATTCTTTACATGATCCTTTAAAAGACTGGACCGTTCTTTGTCTCTCTCAAGACTCCTCAAATCCACCATAATCCCAAAAACAAAAGGGTTGAAAATAATAACACGAGTATTATATACAACAAAGGAAACAATACGGCACAATCACATTAATTCCTTGTACAGTGTAGGATATTTCCTCATCATCACAAAGTGAAAAATAGATAATATTATCACCACCTTTCACTGAATAATAAGAAATGTCTTTAGTGAATAATGCACAAAAATTGAGAGAGAGAGAGATGGAAATCCATATGCATATATTTGTTTCATCACATTTCACTACTGCTACTTCAACTATTGTATCAACAACCAACAACTACAATTACATATAATTCTCACTTCCTACTATTTCTTTGCTTTTCATAAAAAAAAAAAGACTAAATTTTATCCCACCTACTATCTATTTTATCCAACCTACTATCAATTTATCCAACCTACTATCAATCACCTTGAGAGACTCCTTTATTTCATTTTGAGTATTTCCAAATTCCTCCATCATTCTTCCCATTCGTATCATCACAGATGCATATATAGACAATCGTTCATCCAATGAAGGAAGACCACTTGTGGAAGAATTTGGGACAGCTTAGGCTGCAATATTATCCTCAGGTGCAATTCATTCTGGATTTCAACTTGTGGCTGTTGTGGCTGAGTTTTCTTATTCTTATCTTTCCCCAAACTTTGTGTGGCTGAGTTTTCTTATTCTTCCCTTGTCCCAAACTCTTTTTTATTGTCCCATCATTAATTGGATTCATGGGAGTAGAATAAGCATCGCTTAAGTGAATCACAACTCCACAATCCTTCATAATCTTTGAAATCAAAATTGAAAATGAGAGATATTTCCGACTATCATTCGTACTGTGTGCCGAAATAATTTCATCAATTATTAAACAAGGTAGATCTATACTCATACCCGTTCCAATGGCATACAGGAGATAAGCTCGATCAAGTCCAAAATCAGCATTATGTGCAATTGGATGAATATTGTACCCCACTATAAGGTTTAAAATCCTATATTTAGGAGTCAGGTGTTGCTGAAAAAATGATGGATCAGTAACACTCTCACTAAAATTATTAGGTATACCCCCGATTTCTGTATAAACATCTTCCAACTTAGGTATGTGCTTAGAATTATTGAATGGATAAGAAAGTGTATCATCATGAAGGAAGGGTCGATGAACTCCCAATATTTTTGAAACTAAATCTGGGGTTACTTCAAAACTCACCTTCCTCACAAGGGACTTAAACTTGTGATTAACTTTATCAATATCATGCAGGTTAAAATAAAATATCTTCACCAATGTATTATATGTTTTATCCATCTTCTTGATATGAACTGAAGAATTCCATCAATGAAGAGCAAAAATAACATCTAATCCTGCATCTTTTAATTCATCCAGTACAACACCCCTCTCCAATAACAAAGGTCTATTATAAAAGCAATTATCATACCGATGTTTGCAATCATCATTGAAGAAAGATATGTCTTCATTGGATGAACTTGTTGGATTGGGGTTGGATGAACTTGCTGGATTGGGATTGGGGTTGGGTGAACTTGATGTATTGAATGAGGGATCAACTGGATTGGTGAAGGTGGGATTAACTATTGAGGACGGATCAACGGAGAGAGAATGATTACATTTCTTCTTCTTCGAGGGACCTCCCACATTACAGCTCTCCTTCCTCTTCATTTTTTCACTGGTATCAACTTTTGGCCTATACTTCTTGGTCATTATACTTTGCTGTAACAAGAAAAAAATCTGCAATAACATCAAACATTATCTATTACTTTTGAGCAATAACAATTAACAATTGAGCAACTTTTGGGCAATAGCAATAAACCATCATTCACAAAAAACATAATTCTCAACCCATGTGTGCAAAATTATTATGAAATTGAGAGAGAGACAACTATGTATACAAAAATATGATGAAATTGAGAGAGAGAGAGAGAGAGAGAGAGAGAAGAAAGAACCTTGGAGAAGATGAAGGCGGTGGGAGTGGGTTTTGGGTTTTCACCGATTTGGGGTTTTGGGTTTTCACCGATTTGGGAGGTGGTTGATCCAAAAATGGTTGTGATTTAGGGTTTTGGTATGCAATCAGGTTGGTTTTTCACCTATTTGGGTTAGATTTGGGGTTTGATCGCTGATTTAGGGTTTTGAGGAGTTTGGGGAATAGAAGACAAGGGAGTTGAGAGAAACTTGAGAGTCTTGAGCGATCAATTTGGAGACTTTGGAGTTATCTCTTGATCGCTAACAAAAATCTCGATCGCGTATGTAGCGATCGGTAGCGATCAAGTTGCAAAATAATTTCACTGAGCTAATCTCGATCAAGATGTTACGAGCTAATCTCGATCGCTCAAGATATGTCCAATAAATTTCACTTATACCCCTAATTTTAACTTAACCCAAAATATAACCCCAACAAATGGCAATTTTACCCAAATATTGTAAAATTTTCCTTATATTTTTTTTTCAGGTTTAAATATGATAAATAACTATCATTTTTTAAAACTAATTTTAATTTCTATTATCACTTAAAATAGTGGTGAACTTAGATGATCTAATCTAACCTCCTAATATTTTTAACTTAATCTAAAATGGTATATTTAATGTCACTCAATAACCCCAAAAATTGTAAATTTTTTCTTATATTTTTATTTCATGTCTAAATATAATAAATAATTATCATTTTAATTTCTATTATCACATATTTTTAAAGTGTAAGGGATTCATGTTTTAATTTTTTAAAGTGTATAGGGGTTCATGTTCATGTTCACTTAATAACCCCAACTATTGTAAATTTTTTCTTATATTTTTATTTTATGTTTAAATATAATAAATAATTATCATTTTAATTTCTATTATCACTTATTTTTAAAGTGTATAGAGTTCATGATTAAATTTTTTAAAATGTAAAGGGGTTCATGTTCACTTATTTTTTAAGTGTAAAAGGGTTCATGTTTAAATTTTTTTAAAGTGTATAGGGTTCATGTTCATGTTCACTCAATAACCCCAATTGTAATTTTTTTCTTATATTTTTATTTCATGTTTAAATATAATAAATAATTATCATTTAAAATTTTTTAAAGTATACACCGAAACCGGTGAAACCGGTTATAGGTTTTTATAAGATTTAGAGTGTACACGTGGCGAGCATCTGACTCTTTTAACTTTTCGGTATGGTACCCAGTTTTATGTTTTCGGTACCGAAGCCTACTTCTTCTTCTTTTTCTTTAATTTCATAAATTTTATGGCAAATTGTATGTATTTTAGATATTTTTTTATATTTTTTACCTAAATTATTTTATTTTATAATTATTATATATATTATTTTATATTTTTATTATATAACCGGTCCTATCAGTTGACCAACGCTCAAACCAATAAACCATTAACCTGGTTCTTTGCTGGTTCGATGACCGGTGGTTCCAATAACAATGACCTTTAGTTTTGGATAAATTATATTTTAGGGTTAATTATAAATTATACCCGTAAAAGATTGTTCAAATTTTAATTTGTACCCTCAAATATCAAAAATCATAATTTATATTTTCATAGATAGAAATTTGTATCAGTGTATACCTCAAAAGATAAAAAATTTTAATTTGCACCCTCAAAAATAGAAATTAGGATTAATGTGCACCCCCAAAGATTAAAAATCTCAATTTTCACTTTTAAAAATAGAATTTTGTATTAATGTGCACCTAAAACTAAATTGATAAATTATACCTAGATCCCCTTATGCTAGTCACTTAATCATTTGAACCCCTCACATTTAGAATATTACTCTTACATCTCATGACGTTTATACACGTGTAACACGTAACCCCTTTTCATTGATATCTGTTAATATAACCGTTAAAAAATATAATTTTATCCTAATAAAAAATTATAATTTTATATTACCTTTTATTTTGTGGGTCTGATATGCTCTAAAGTTCAAAATCAAGCATACAATTTGTAACGCCCCAAAAACCCCCTTGGATGACATTACATTCTAAAAATCATTCACCGCATGAGAACATTAAGTAAATCTATCACGACAAAAGTTTCATTCATCCACCATTCATATTTTAAGAAAATTTGGGCACAGTCTCCTCTGTTCGGGGAGCTCTACCCAAAACACAACCTGTGCAATTCTACTGTAATGACCACACCGGGTTCATTTAACTACCATAAAATCAATCCATCCAATTTACATGTTATCCCAAAAGAATAGGCCAAGTTATGACCTTTACATTCCCACAAAAGTACTATAATACACAGCGGAATTTATAAAATAAAAACTAGACTATACAATTCTCCCAAAAGATTATCCAAGTCTATAACAAAAGAAAGGGGGGTCGCTCTAAGCATCCACCTCGGGATCCACGCTCCCTTCTATCGGAGTCTCCAAATATGTCGGCCCCTCGACTCCCAGCTCCTCGTCAAAGGCAAAATCTGAAAGGTGGGGAAGTAGGGAGGTGAGCACAAGGCTCTGTAGGAGGATCCTTCCAAACCCATTCAAGGTTTTGAAATCAAGTAAAACAGGTAGGTCACGTTTCGCACATACATATAAATGAATTTTAAAGTAAAGTAAGGACATTTTAAAGGAGATCTCAAGTTTGTACAATAATAAGGACTTGAACCAGAATAAAATCACGTTTAATTGACAAACAATTTCCAACATAATCCACTCCACCATACACCATTTTCCACAAGGTATCGCGGCATCCCATACTACTCGAAACTCTTGGAAAAATAATATTTGGTACAATGAACAAAAATTTCTATTTGGTACCACTCAAGTAGGTTGTCGCTTCTCATGAATCTACCCGACGATTCTACTTCGTTCACCCATTTTCACTAACAATCACAGACCAATTTAGGAAGGGCATGTACCGTCTCATACGACCTTGACGAAATTCTTCCAAGGTGTCTAGTACACTAACCCTTTTCCCCGGTATCCGTGAACAATAGTGGTCACTGTCACCACAGTGATCCACTACGGGCATTAGGCAACCATCTCACCCCCCATTGGGATAGACTAACCTCTAATGCTCTACAGCAGTTTTCGAAGGTAATCCAAGTCCCTCACAACACCATACACAAGAGTGACATACCAACAATATACTCAACCTCATATACAAGCAAATTCCATGATGTTTCCCCAAATTTTCACAAGAAAGATACATAATAGAACAATTTAAGAAAATATACTCATTTCGCAAATCATATAACAAGAGACAAGTTTAAAGGAAATAAGCATGAGATCATCAATACAATCATTTTACTACCCAACACAAAGTTCTAGAATTTTCGAAATCAAGATGATGTGAAGATATAGAGAAAAATCCATATTTCCCCCAAAAACTAGAGTTTGATGGATTTCCAACCATCATTTTGTTCAAATCATGGGAATGTTTGTAAACATACCAAGGAACAAGAAACTCATAACAAATACCTACTATTAAGAGTCAAATTCTACATGTATAATAACCCTAACATCAATGGACAAGGATGGAAGAAAACCCTACCTCAATGTTCTTAAAAACCTAGGTTTAGTGTGAAGAAGATGAAGATTTGATCTTCTTTGAAGTATAGATCTCCTCTTGATCTTGTGTTTTATCCTTCTCTCTTCCTCTAGAGTCCTAAGAGAAGTGGGTTGAGAGTGGAATGAGAGAAATGAGAGTAAAGGCTGAAATCTGTGTTTTTAAACACAGAAATCCCGAATTTTTTTTTCTTTTACTGTTCATGGGCTGCTTCGATATTACTTTGTTATCGAGGCATAACTCTCTCATCCGAGCTCCGATTGAGATGATTCAAGATGCTATGAAAAGCTAAGAAAGAACTCTACAACTTTCATGTTTTGAGTTTTAAGAGATATTGACTACATCAAGGTCTAAATTGGGCTTGAAGTTGCAGCCAGGACACAGTTCACGTGCACTGTTCACTATTTCATCCCTTTTTTCATGGCATAACTCTCTCATCCGAGGTCCGATTGAGATGATTCAAGATGCTATGGAAAGCTAAGAAAGAACTCTACAACTTTCATGTTTTGAGTTTTAAGAGATATTGAATACATCAAGGTCTAAATTGGGCTTGAAGTTGCAGCCAGTGCACAGTTCACGTGCACTGCTCACTATTTCATCCATTTTTCCATTTCCAATCTACCAAATTCAAACACACATCGCTACACCTATCCCCATTTTTACAAAAAATTATTTAATATATATCTATATGCATATATATAAAATAAAATGCGGAGTGTTACACAATTTGTCAATTTAACGGTTATATTAATAGATATCAATGAAAAGGGGTTACATGTTACACGTGTATAAACGTCATGAGATGTAGGAATAATATTCTAAATGTGAAGGAATCTAAATGATTAAGTGACAAACATGAGGGGATTTAAGTATAATTTATTAATTTAGTTTTAGGTGCACATTAATATAAATTTCTATCTCTGAGGGTACAAATTGAAATTTTTTATCTTTGAGGTCTAAATTAAGATTCAAACTATCTTTCAGGGTGCAACTTATAATTAACCCTATATTTTATCCCCTTAAACTATTATCTTTGTTTTACTTTGTAGTTTTAACTATAAAATTTATAACATTATACCTTAAAGTATTAATTTTATTTCATATCACTTTAATAGATAATAACAAAGTTAAAAATATATCAAAGGAGGGGAAAGCCCAAAGAGCTACCCACCAAGTGTCTAATACTATTTTATTTTACCTCTTTTGCAATTAAATGATTGTTAGGAAGAAAAAGAAAGTTGGTCAGGGAAGAAAATTTAGAATTTAAGAAAGGACAAAGTAATGAATGAATATTTTTTTTGATTTTTGACATGCACATGTGCAATTGACAGTATTAGTTGTACAAACCACTCATATGTGTATTTACTGTCAAAAAATTGACGGTCATTATCAATTGGAGTAATATGAAATAAAATTGATACTTTAAGGTATAATGCGAGAAATTTTATAATTAAAGGTATAAAATAAAATAAAGATAATAGTTTAGGGCATAAATGTAATTTACTCTTTAGTCTTCCCATGCTCCTATCTACATAGTTCCTTTACACCTGCGGCACCCCCAATCGATTTTCTTTCTCTCTCTCTCTCTCTCTCTCTCTCTCTCCCTACGGTTTAACGGCAGAACCCAGGAGAAGTCGTCGGCGAAGACCTATTGCGATCTCGGCATCCCCTTTTCGACTTCTCTCAGGCAAGTTTATTCTCTCCTTGTATGGAAGTTATTTGTAATCTGATCTATTATGCACACGCATGTATATATATGCGTTCGTTTGATTTAAAATAATTTTTTTTCATCTCAACCTCACTTTCATTGATGTTTTAGCACGGAAATATGTTCATTAAAGAAGTATGGTGGTTTTTATGTGAGATTGGTTCTAATTATGTAATTTAGGGTTACGGTGGGGTAAGTTGTACCGAGTTTAATTGAAATGTTCAAAAAATGGGATAAACTGTGTGCATTCTATTTATCTAAAATTAAATTTCAAAGAAGCATTGATGACTCTGCAATCTTACATGGTGATTAATCATGCTGAAGTTATTATGTTATTTACTTTCTAATTTTATTAATGGGGAGAATGAAGCCACGAAAGGATAATGATTTCTCAGCAATCTCTAAACCGTAATTGGTGTCATTTCTCTGGATTAAATTTGAGTCACGTTTTGAGGTTAATTTTGAAATTTGGATTAATTGCTCAAAGCCTTATTTATTTATTTATTATTTTTTTTGTGGAGTTTGTATGCTGTAACCCCAATTTTTATTTATTTCAGGGTTTTCTTTGTCAATTTCAAGATGCCGGCCACAGCAGGTAGGGTTCGTATGCCCGCAAACAATCGGGTGCACAGTAGTGCAGCCCTGCAAACTCACGGTATATGGCAAAGCGCCATTGGGTACGACCCTTACGCACCCAACAAGGAAGATAATAATAAATCATCTCAGAAGTCGATCAATTCTGAACCGGAGGGTGAGAATGCATATGCAAGCTTTCAGGGCTTGCTTGCACTTGCCCGTATAACTGGTTCCAATGCCGATGAGGCTCGTGGGTCATGTAAGAAATGTGGCCGTGTGGGGCATTTAACATTTCAGTGCAGAAACTTTTTGACTGTTAAGGATGAGAGCAAGGAGAAAGACCCAGAAGCAATTCAGGCTGCAGTTTTGTCTGGATTGGAGAAATTGAAGGGGAATGGGGCTAAGATGAGTGGTAAAACAGCATCTGAGAGCTCGGATGAGAGTGAGGAAGAGGAGACTGAGAGTTCGGATTCGGATTATGATTCGGAGATTGAGAGAGCTATTTCTAAGAAGTATGGAAAAAAGATGAGCAGTAAGTTGAAGCCATCGAGAAAGAAGAAGGATGATTTGGATGAAAATGACCGGGAGTTAGGAGAGAGGAAGAAGAGGGGAAGGTCGAAGAGGAGGAGAAGTGGGAAGAGGTCCGATACAGATTCTAATGATGAGCATGAGGGCAGCAAGAGGAGGAGGAAGGAGAAGAAGAGAAGAGACGAGTCGTCAGATGAGGAAGAGACTCGACATAGGAGAAGGAAAAGTAGGAAGGAGAAGAGGAGGAGGAGAAGTCATCCACATTCTAATGATTCGAATGAATCTGAGGATTCATGTAGACGGCATAAGCGGAGGAGCAGGAGGGCATCTTTGCCAGAGGATTCACGAGTTGGCAGGGACAAACAGAGGATTGATAAGAAGAGCAGGAAACACCAAAATGATGAAGAGGACTAGTTTCTTTACTGAAGGTGATACATCACATACTCTTCACATTGCTGTTGTGTATTGTTATATGAAATTGCATTACTTTCATTATGAAAAGAAATAATGTGATGGTTGATTCTACAATCTACTTAAAGAGGATGTGGCTTTGGATTGTACTTTTCATGTAGGGTTGAGATGCCGGTTGATATGTTTGAATTTTGCTTTATCAATGGTTGCCTGATACGTGCAAACACTTTCTCTCGATCTCTATTGAATCCGTTTAAGTTCATTTTTGTGATTTTAAACCTAGAATTTTTATTTTTCCTGTTCCTTGTGCAATGATTAAATTTCCATAGCAAATAATGAAAAAACTCAATCAGTTAGAGCAGTGATAGTGTCTGTGTCATGTCCTATCCATATCCTGAGTCCATGTTCATGGTTCTATCCCTACCATACTATAGTTGTACTATCATTTGTCGCTCAACTACCTTTTTCACTGTCATTATTATCTATTGGTTGTTGTCATTTTGTTGGCTTGTCCGGTTCTTGCTATCATTGCCTTAGAAGCTCAAACACGGACATGAGACAAGGATACAACACGATATTGACACGTTGACACTAAATTTTTAAAGATATACGACACAAACACAGTGGGGGACACAAGAAATATTATGTATTTATTTTGATACATAGATGATCATGAACTAGAATACTAACATTTAAATTGAAGGATCAACAAATCATAAGAGAGCAATTATCAATTCATTAATAAGACAATTCCAAGATTGTCACATCAACAATTTTATTACTTTATAAGATTATTTTCATAGGTTGTGGAGTGTTGCGTTGCTCTTTATTCTTGTGAGCCGAAGTTTGTAACTTCGTAGACCCTACTTAATGTTCGTATTTGAAATTATGTTTGTATCCATGTCCCGTGTGGTGACTGGAAGGTTCTGCAAATAGTTATTAGTTTGCGTGATTGCACAAGAGCAAGATAGGGAAAGGGGGAGAAAGAGAGAGAGGAAGAGGGAGAGGAGAGAGATATGGGAGTGGGAAGTAATCAAGAGAGATAAATTATATTGGTAGTTGAGTATTGTTGAATTGCGAGTTATAGGTGATTAAGAGGATATAAATGATAGGTGATTAAGAGGTTATAAGTGATTGATGGAGGAAAATAGGTATCCTATATTATGGATATTTCACATGTGAACACCATGCCCTTAGGGTTCAAAGTATTGACAGAGTCTGATACGACTCGGCCACTGCCGATCTGATACCGGTACACATTACATAAAAATCCTGTTTTCACCTGAATTGATGATGACTCGGTTCTGAATTGATGGTATCGATCTGATTAGAAGTCATTTGGGGGTAACTTGGACAATTCATATCGGAATCAGACCAATATGGTGAAAATGTCCACCAAATCTCAAAAAATCTTAGAGAAAATGCAAAAGGCAAAATAAACATATGAGAATAAAGAAAAAATCGAACAGAATCACAGAAATCAGATGCACTTGAAATCTAAAATTTTCAGACACTAATCGCAAGAAATCTCCTTTTGGAAATTGTATATATACAACAAGAATATTTTGAAAAAGAAATGAAGGAAAATCTAAACGAGTAAGAGCCTCGCTAGATCTTTTTCTTCTACAAAGCAGCGACTCAGATCCTTCGTCTGAGACAAAACATCTCTTTCTCTCTCTTTGTCTAAAGCAATGCTCAATTTCTCTCTTTTTCTCTCTCTCTTGTTTTTCTCTCTCTGAACAAGTGAGTCTCGTTCTCTGTCTATAAACGAGTAGTCTAGTCTAGATATATTGGACTAAAAAGTGAGAGACCACTAGTCCAGTCTAGTTTCTAGAATATTCTTTTTTTTTTTTTTTCTGGTGTATCGCTTTTTTTTTCTTTGGTCAATCCTTGTCTCATTGGAGTTTTTATTTTTATCATTAGTTTTTTTATTACTTTTATTGCTTTTGGGTGCATAACACAGATGATGATACTTGTTTTCAGTAGTGTCTTTATATGTTATTTTCATTGTATTCAATTGCTAAGGGATGTAGTTTGGACATATGATGTATTAATGATGATGTTTATATTTTTAAAATTTTTTTTAAAAAAATTTGAGCTTTTTATGTAGCTTTTTGTGCATATCAACTGAAATCGTGCCTCGATGCTACAACCGATGTATATCAGTGCTCTCTAGTTGAGAACCAATATTGCGCTGCGATCGATGTTTGTCAATCTCCTCCGAGTTGAGAGCCAATACTGTGACTTTGAACCATGCATACCCCTCATCTCCTTTTATAATAGTAGTAACTTTTATATAATAAATCTATGATCCAATCCTTATATATCAAGTTATTTGACAAGTTTTATGAAATTGGAAAAAACAACAAAACCTTTTCTTTGCTTGTCTCGTACATGATGGTTGCATGTCCCCAATGTGTCCAAAATATGTCCGGGGAAAAACAATAATGATAGAATCAGACACTCATAAGTGTTTGTGTCCGAAGTGTGTTCATGTCTGAAGCGTGTTCATGTCTGAAACATGTCAGACATGGGCACTCTGTCCTGAACAAGATGTTTTTGCTTTCTAGGTCACTGCTATTACCACACAGCTGCCTTCATCTTTCCACATTCGCTACCTTTTTCACCTTAAACCAGTATGCCAAATCTTGATTTCTCGTTTCAATTGTTTTGGTGACACTCAATTCAAAATGATTTCGCTATACAATACTTGTGTGGTGTACTAATATGATGTTCGCAACTTAAAGGTACTTCCAAGAAGTTGGAAAACGACTCCTTATCTTATTATGAGACAAAGGGTTACATCGAAAATTCCATCAATCATGCTAATGGCTTGTTAGGATATGTTTCTTTCTTTCTCCTTACCACCCACCTCCCGTATCCTTTTAAAAAAAAAACGTCAACCACGAAATCCCCAGAAGAGAGAGAGAGAGATCTTGGAGGCAAAAAATCACATTTCTTGTTAGCTTTTATCCCCGAAGAATAGTTTGTTCAAGGGATGGGTTTTCATCCCATCAATGATCTTCAATGGTAATGCAGGAAAGTTAGCACATGTATAAGTGTTTATTATAGCCTGTTCAACTCTATTTTGGGGTTGGATAAAAAAAAATACTCTATCTTGGGGTAACATTATGCTGTTGTGGCTTATACATGAAATTCTGTAATTTGTGTGCATTCATACTTACTGATCAAGGGTAGGAGCATGCGAAATTGGTAGCAATCATTGGAATGTGAAATTCTGTGTGAAAGCACACTTAACAGATCGATGGTTAGCTCCTTGACCTGTTCATTTTGCAGGGACATGCGAAACTGGCAGTGATCATTGGAATGTGGCTGTTATGTAATCAATCGTGGCGTTTACATTTATTTCAGTTATTGTGTATTCTTAGACACTATATGTTATTATTTTTACCTCTTTGCTGAAAGGCGCATGAAAGATGGACACTGAGGAACTTGTATTAGCTGTTTAATAGTGTAAATGCTGGTGATCTGTATTCTCTAACTTTCGTGTCTTGTGAATGTGATTTTCTTAATCCTTTCATACAGTTTCCTATAGCACTGTCAACAGTTTGCTCCTTTCAATTGGTTTGGTTATGGTCAGGAGAATTCCATTTCATTAGGTTCTTAGTCTTTCTCAATTTTTTTTTTTTTGAAATACTTTAGGTTATTGATTGATTGTTTTGTATTTTTGTGTGTTTTTTTCCTCATATTGGTTTCTTTCATACCTCAAAGGAGTAATTGAAAGTATAATAGTCTACTTATGCATTAGTACATTTTACCTAAAAAGTGTGACAATATAAAATGAACATGTGTGTTTGCAGCAGGCTTGTCAAGTTCTTGGGATCATAATATTCAATATATTATTTTATCTTATTTTAAACCCTAAAAATAAAAGTGTATATGTGCTTACTTTCCAAAAGTGTAATCAAAATGGTGCATTTATTTTCGCAGAAATGATGTGTATGTTAATTATCTTCCATGAATTAATCCGTACTCCACTGACTAGCGTGGCATTTCCATTTTTGTAGTGAGCATAAGACTGACATTACGGTAACAAAGATTTTTACTAAGAGGATCAAATCAACTGATCCGTTAGTTTTAGGTGACGAAGAATTCATCTAATTAAGATGTTTGAGATTTAATTATGCCATAGATGTCGTGTGTATATAATATATGATGGAAAAAAGGTTGTACTTGTCAAAGTCTGTTAATTGAATTCCATTACCTTCTGAAAAAAAAAAAAAAAAAAAAACCTTCCGAAAAAAAATTGAATACGATATGCAAAATCTTGTTTTTCCTGGGAGTAGCTTAGGAGTAAACAATAAAATAGGCATATCAACGTGTGTCTATAGGATCGTATGGAAAATTATAATTTTTTAGGTCAAGTTAAAAGTAAAGAGTGTTAATTCACAGCAAAAAAAATAGAATTGATTAAAAAATTTTAAAATTGATCCCAAACAAACCATTTTGTTGTAATCTCATCAAATAGTATTGTAACACCATTAATTTATTTTTTGATATTCTAGTCTTGTTAATTCTCTTCTGTTTCTTTGGAACCACATACAGGTGCCATTATTTGGTGATTTTCCTTTGATGGTTTCAATTGTTCTCGACAAAAAATCCGGGTCAATGAGATTAATTACACTTTATCCCTTAAATTATGATTTGGATTTACTTTGCCACTACTACAATTGATACGAATATATTGCAATTTGAGTCTTCATTTATTTGTGGTTTCCTCCATTCTAAGTTCTATCAATTTTATAATAACTATATCCAATATGCTTGGATTAAGAATGACTATGCATCGATCATCCCTATTTTTTAACATTCTATTGAAAGTACACCCATTTTTAATATCACTTCCGAAAGCAATGTTATTAGAACCGGACCGGTCATCAAACCGACAAAGGGATTGGATCAATGATTCACTGGTTCAACTAATGGGTCACTGGTTGGACCGGTCATATAATAAAAAAAATAAAAATATATATATAATAATT